ACAGGGGTCCATTGGTGCACCCCCACTTTTGTAATGTCCGTGAAGTTGCCGATTTATCCAGCGATTTATTCAGCCACGAGTTGTGATTTATCTACAAACACGTGATATTGCAAATTATGGCACGATAGCATCGAAAATTATGTTTATTTTCAAATGTTACGTTAATATCCTTCACGGTCAAAAGCAATGTCAAATAACGGGAAATTTCATATCACCAAACATGCCGCCCGACTCTAAATTTGCAAGCATCAGAATGTTCGCAAGCGCAAGGAATAGCGTCCGCCAAAACGTCTTGCCTTGTGAAGGTGACCCTCCGAGGTCAAGCTCAGGCTCAAAGCACAGGGAACACCATGACCAAAAAATTACCGGCCGATGTAATTTTTTCAAGCATCATAGATAAGACAGTAACATAAGCCTACCATAGCAGAAGACTTCTGACTTCTGCTATGGTTTCAAGAAAGGCATGCTGCCCAAATATCAACCCACCTATATCTATATTCTCCTGGTTTTTCCGACGAATGAGGCTAATACTGCTGTCTTATCTGTGTGACTAATGTTCCTCGTTAATGCCCTTGAACAAATTATGTAATTTTCAAGCATCATAATATTTTTAAGCGCAAGAACCTAGCGTCCGCCCAAAAAGTACTGGCCTCTCAAGGCCTCTCTTCAAGGTCAAACACGGGCTCAAAGGATGAGCAGCTCCATATCACCAAAACATTAGAGGTCGATTTTAAACTTGCAAGCCCCAGAATATTAACCACAGAAGGAGCTAGCGTCCGTCAAAAAGTCCTAACCTCTCAAAGTTGTCCATCAAGCTCAACTAAGACTCAAATGACGGGGGGACCTTGGCGATTTATTCAGCGATTTTTTCCGCGAACGGGTTCGATTTCCCTGAAAGACACCAGTTATGTGGTCAATTATGACTCGGAAACATCGAAAACGACGTTTATTTTGCGATATTATGTGACCTGCAAGGTCAACAGCAAGCCCAAAGAACGAAAAACTTCATTTCACAAAAACTGACCGATTTTAAGTTTACAAGCATCAGGATCTTTTCAACTGCAAGAACTAACTGAATTGTCAATCGGCCATCAATGCCATCTCAACCGCCTGTTCAGTTCGCATTGGGTTTTGAACTGAAGGAGCCATTTCGAATAACATTTGGTGCAGCTCACATCCCTGCCCCTCAAGACCGAAAACGCTCTAGTTTCTGAGCTACACGCCCGGGAAGATTTGCCACTTATTTTGTGCCAACTATTTTAAGGTTACCCAGGTATCCACGACTTCATAATAACGTTATTAAAATCCTCTACTGGCCACGCGACGTTCAAAGTCAGTAGAAATATAATTGTCGAGTCGTTCATATCTCACGTTCGTGAGCACGATTACCTGATATAATGGCTGTTATCTTGAATGCCAACCAACGTCGTGCAAGCAAGCTACGGAAATTGCGTTTTGTGCAACCTAATACACGGAGTTATGTATTCTTTCTATTTATTACAAAATAACTGAGTGTTATCGAATAGACCAATAATAGCCGCTATAACCGAGCACTGTCAATACAGGCAAGCACCTTAAACCTCAGGGGTAAATGTGCAAGATTACGGCGAAAAAAAAGCTAAAACACAAACACCGAACAATTATTCGGTTCAGCACACATCCAACACCGCCGCGGGCCACCTCTCAGAAGATCAAAAGGCTATAAGTGGAGTGCTGGCATAAAACCGTTTCATCGTGCAATCAGGCAGTGCCCGTATTGAAGAACACAATTATTGAAAGAGAAATTGTGTTTCCTAGGGCAGTCTTTTTCAATTTCCACTGCTAAGCATACCACGCGGTTGTAAAGTGAGCATAGGCGAGCGCGCCGACGGGTTGCCCCTGAGGTTGGCCGACCGGGAGCACGGGGCTGCGTCAGTCCGCCACACCATGATAAACTTTGCACTGCACGGGTGTTAGCAGGGTCCTCACTTTTCTATTGATGGTTGCCATGGATGTTCCGAAAACTGAGGTTCCTAACGAATTGATGATGTCATCAGCTTGGAAAATTGAGTTATATGTTAGTGGTGGAAAATAATGTAGCCTAATGGCGCAGGAAAAATGAAACTTACCCTCATATTGACGCTCAGGGCGTTGCATTGCCTACATGATACTGCTCCTCGATACAAAAATAGTATGGCAGCGAAGTGATCATCGGTTGACATGGTACAGTTCCGTTATCATCTCAGTTTCCCACGTTGTCACCGACGGAAAGCGGCTGGATCACGTCCTTGAAAATCTCCGAATCATAATCAGAGCATGAAATAGCCTTGACGACCAGGTCTCGTCCAAATCTGAGGTGGTGGCATATAACACTGCACTGATTGTGTTTAAGTCGGCGTGAAAGGACCCTAATAGCATCATTCAATGGTTCAATGTACTACACGGTAAGATGCTCTGTGATGCACGGACAGGTTACAATGGCCAAACATCGGAGACCACAGGCAGGCAAAATCTTGCAGAACGAGGGGTCCTCTGAACTGGTTTATGTTCCTTCTGATAATTCGTTGTTTTGTGGAGACGGTCAATAGATAAAAAGCAATTAGCGTAGTTTACATAAGTGCGGAGGCATGCAAGCGTACATTTAAAGCGATGTAGCTCTGTTTAATGGAATCGACGCTACGATATTTTATCATGGCCTGGAGCCGACGCTTCTAACACAAACGTAATGTGGGCGGCTCATAACGTTTCTGGAAAAGACCGAAGATGTAATAGAGTATCTAGATAACAAATGGATATCAAAGTTAATGGCGGTTTGGATTAATTTTTTGAGTGCAGAGAGCCAATATATGCATATATATATATATATATATATATATATATATATATATATATATATATATAGGCACATATATATATATATATATACATATATATATATGTATATATATACATATATATATATATGTATATATATATGCATATATATACATGCATATTATATATATATATATATATATATATATATATATATATATGCATATGTATATATATACATATATATATACATATATATATATATATATATATATATATATATATATATATATATATATATATGTATATATATATATATATATATATATATATATATATATATATCTATATATATATATATATATTATATATATATATATATATATATATATATATATATATATATATTATATATATATATATATATGTATATATATATAATATTATATGTATATATACTATATAATATATGTATATATATGCATATATATAATATATATATATATATATATATATATATATATATGTATATATA